ATAAAACAAAGTATAATTTCATATTTACAATCATACTGATAAGATTAGCTTAATATAAGACATGTCCTGAAATATCTCCCGACAAAATGGTGTCAGTAATCGTGACACTTAAATTTCTTTTGTAGAAAAGATCGTTTCATTCCTAGGAAATTCTCTTAGTGCATCGCCAACAATGAGTTACCAAAATTTAGCACGAGAAAGAGATGAACAGTTTTTGGCGTCTGTTTTTGTCGTAAGACGAGAAAACTTACACGCTTTTGGTTTGGTGAATCTTACTTCATAAGACCTTTAATCCCCTAAGGGGCTTCTTCTATAGCAATCCACCTACCTACTCATCAAATCAGGCACTGCTATTCGTTTAGTGAAAAAAGGGGCTAAGAACTTTCAAGTTTAAACTTTTAAGCAGTGTAAGGATTACACAGATTTTAACAAGTTCTCTGACTCCAATTAAACGTTTTTGTTTTTAAGTTTTTCGTAAAAGTACTTTCCAATTTAAAAAGTTATAAAAAACACATACATTTATATTTTTCCGAATACTTAAGAGTTATTCTTATAAATAGGAAAGCGAGATTAAGAGATCTTCCCACAAAGCTTTCCGTAGGTTGTTTTTCTATGATACATTTATAAAAGTTGCCCTGACTCCTTAGTGGCTTTGGAGATTAAAATGTTGACTGCTTCTTTTAACTACAGCTGAATTACCAAAAATTAACTTTCCTATATCAACATAATCTATCAATAATTTAAAAAGACACATTAAAACATAAAAGTAAATAAGCACAGACTCTCAAAAATAAATATATCCCTTACCCTAATTTGTTTTTACGTATACATACCTGTAAATAACATTTCTGTAAATGGTAAATCATTTTATTAAAAACGATCACAATATATTTCTCAGACCGCACACACAATGGGCTTTTGAAGTCACACAATACGACATTTTTCTTAATTTACATTAACAGGAAAAACTCGGGTTTCCAAAACCATTGAGTTTTTCCTCTTATAATACTGAATATTCATTAATTTATGATATAAAATCTTATAAAGAATTTTGTACGATATATGTGGAATAAAGGTAAGGTAAGGAGTGTTTATCTCACTTGAATTTGAGGGCTTTCTATTTACAATTCGCTTATGAGTCTTCTTATTATGTGAAAATAATGTAATTATATATTATAGCTTTATTTTACCGTAACCCAAAAAACCCTGGCCATTAATTAAAAAAAACATACTGAATTAAACTACATTTTAGCCAATCAAATGTTGTTTGAATTAAAAGATGCGCTTGAAAGTTATTATGCATTAATATAATATTAGTTACCACAAAAACCCGCATCAAAATGTCAAAAGTAACACGAGAAGAAATCATAGAAAGTGTCGACTTGGTGAATCTGAATTCGCTCGCCCAACACTTTTGCACCCTGCAGTCGTCTTCGCCACGACGGAGGACTTGACACACTGGACTCTCACGACTCTGCTGACATCCAGTGGCGCAGTCATCGCGTGTCCACTTTGGTCAGCCACTTCGTCTAGAACACCAACGAAGAGTTGCCGGCCACCACCGGCTCACTAAGAGTCTACGAGGATTAATTCCCCGTATGTGGCTCTCACAACCAGTTATGTAGTGCGCCACATGAGACAGCATTATTTAAATAATATTAATATATTATTTATATAAAGTGAAATTATCAGTTTTTTATTTATTTATTTAAAGTCATGAGGCTTTAACATGATACCCGAGTAGAAATAACTATAACAAGGTTAAATAATATGAATTCATGCTAGGACACTAGTCACTGGTTGAATAAAGTAAAATTTCATAGAAAAACTACCGTAATTGTAGAAGCCATGTCACTATGACGTATCAATATGGAAAATATTTCATTATATTGTGCAATTTGTGGAAAAAATTATATTGTTAATTTATAATGTTTTATATTTTTATTCTTCCTTTTTCTAATCCTAAATTGAATTAGTGGTAAATAAACCATCAAAGAGTGCGTGCTAATCCTTTTCCTTTACTCCGTTTTATAACATTTTCATTTTAATTATTATTTTATTTTCCAAATTTTATCATCCGTAAGCTGTCCTTTTTCTTGAAAAAAATATCTTATATTTTGTACTGCACTTGTCGCATGTTAATGAATTTTAAAGCGGAATACAGTATATCGATGGACGGAGAGATGGAGTACAGAGGATATTCTTTGCTCCCATGGAACAACTGGATGTCCACGCAGTACAAACATCTATGAAGATACGCACATAGGACACAGGGCTCGAAAAGAGTGTTTTTTAAACACGCATAATTTGGCATTTGAATTTGAAGTATCACAGGCATCAATAAGAAGACGGTTACACGAGCAAGGTTTACATAATAGATTAACCGCCAAGAAACTTGCATTGACGCCGAGGCACAAAACGCAGCGTTTAGAATTTGCACTACGTAATATAGATTTTAATTTTGAAAATGTAATTTTCATAGACGAAAAAGTATTTTGTTCTAATGCTCGTGGTCGATTATTCACAATACGGAATTTTATGTAACTAATGATAATGGCGGAAATCCGAAAGCGAATCCACTTCAGCTACAACAGACTTTCCGGACAACCTATAATGTTTATAAAAAGTGTCAAATAAATTTAATAGAAGTAGTATATTCCAATTTGTCCACTAGTATGTATAGATTCAATTAAAGGTTTTTTTGCAGCAGACTGAACGCACAACAGATAAATTATGCAACATTGACAAAAGTAGTACAATAAACGACACGAAAAATACTCATAATTTATCCAATAACAGGTGCACAGCATTGATACAAAACAAACAAGCCCAATAAAAATATGAACAATCCAAAAAAAATCAAGATTATATTTAGGTATGTGCCGTAATTCTTGGTAACCGACTATTCTCTGATATAATGAATGGCTATGTTAACGCATATTGATGCTCATCAAACCTCCTTGGTAACACCAGAGAGGTTGTACGCAGCTAAGGAGGTCGAAGTGTCCGGTAACTCCACACCGCGCGCATAGAAGAAAACGTAAAAAACAATTGAATTTAATTGATCGAGAAAAATGTTAAGATAGAAATAGAATTTTTTTTAATGTGTGTGACATTTTAATTATTTTTTGGTAACTTTAACTATATTTTTATATAGAAAAAGTGTGGTTTACAATTATTGAATCCTCTGTGAAAAATATTCAGAGGTTATACAGCAAAAATTACCGAAATTTTATGCCATCCGTAAGCGTAACCACTAACGAAGTCTTTTGATCATAAGTTTGACAAGATTATTTTGTCGAATTATGTATGTTTTTCCCTTGATTACATTCAGCCCCAACGTTAATCTGTGGGTTGCGGAGCGTTTATTTTTAGGGAATCGAGAAGCTTCAAAGAATTTCGGCAATTTTTTTTTCCCGCCCGACAAGTAATTGGATCGATAGATATTGCGTGGTCGCTAAATTATTTGTTACCAACATGGTAACAAAGGGTAACATAAGGGGTTTGCCTTCTAAAAAAAGTCAAAATAGTTGTTATAAACAATTTACGCAAAGTACTTATGCTATCGAATGTACTGCGGCAAATCGCAGTTTTATTTTTGTTCGGGGATGGCACAAAAAATTACCCCACTGTTAATAATCGGGCAGACGTTTTTCTCATAACAGGCATTAAATTGTTCTACTTAAGCCTTGATTCATTGGAAAGAAAAACTTTATAAAAGTCCAGAGAACAAGGCATGTTAAGTAATAGTAACTAGTACTAATCTCCATGTTTTTCCAACTTTTCGAATAGAAATAGTCTCTTCCATTTTCACGCTAACAAGCCGTAATTAATGTCTGTATTGCGGTCCGAAGCAGCCTTTTTGCTGTCGACCGCTATTGTAGTAAATATCAGTGGCGAAGTGTTGAATAAAACATGTAGCTTCATTCAATCAATACTCATCTAATACGTGTACAACTTAGACCTCCCACGTCTTCCTACGCACTAAACTGGACAATTTATTATGTCCCGCTACAGGATATTAATATTTTTATTGTCAATGGTTGGTAGAAAAAGTCGAATATTCTTTCTCCACCAACTGGAATATTCTAAAAAAATTTAATCCTGAATAGAAATTGATTTTTAATACAAAGTTTAATCCACCTCATTAGAGAGGCTTCATTAAGCGAGATGCTGCATTATCACGTGATATGCAAATTTTACCTTTACTGCTAGATTTATGTCGTAACATTACTACTACTGTAGCCTGCGACTTTTTCTGTTTGAAATTGTAGCCTATGTGTTTCTCCAGAAAGTGTTCTTTATCTATGTCAAATTTTAACGATAACCATGCAGCCATTCTGGAGGTACCATCTAAAAACCATCCAACCAAAATCTGCGTCTTAAACTATTTTATCACTGTTTCGTCAAAGATCACAGGGATGATGATGTGTTTTATGGGGGTTTTGGTCTCAGAAACCAACTGTAAGATTATCAAGGAATAGCCGTGACAGAAACAGTAAAAACTATCTTTACAGACAAACATATGTATATGTGAACAAATGAGCTTTGTTTCCAAAATGAATGGTGAGTGTGTAAAGCTGCCATATGGTCAAAATTTGATGATAAACTATTCGCTTATTAAGTGTCATAGTGTGCATAAATCCGATTACACAAATTGGGAATTTGAATTTTCAATTAAGAACTGTTTACTAACGGATGTGTAAACGGAAATTCTCTCGCCCGCTGCAATTACAGCTGCGATTCGTAAATAGAAGTTCACTGCGTCCACGCGTCGCATCGTGTCGCAACAATCCGCACTTTCATTACGGATATAAACGATATATTACAAATCATTTAAATATTGTGATAATATAATATATTTATGGTAATATTATTTTATTATAAAACAGTAAAACATAACGATGATTATACTCTTGCACACTATACATCCGAACCAAACTAAACTACTTATATCGTTGGTGTTTTGACTAGATTGCGGTCCTACCAAATCTTTTAAATTGATAGTTCAAATACCCGAAGGAAGGAAAAACTCCAAACATATAGTAACAATTAGCTAGGTAGAAAAGATCGGGTAAGGTCAGCGTCGACCTGTTTTTAACAGAAATAACACCATATTATGCCGTTGGTGTCTCATAGCAAGATTTGTGCTCAAATAACTCTGTCCTTCGTGTCATGTTTAAATTTTACAAGCTGGGGATGTAATCAATAAAATACAATGTCTATTTCAATTCCGCATTACAGCGCAAACCAAGTATACCATCGAGAAGTGCAACACTCGGCCCGAAAGATATGTCAATGTAGCCGACGACAGCCGAAGAGTTGTCAACTTGCGAGAAACGAGAACACATATCGGTAAGCTGGGTACTACTAGTCCTTAATGCCCCCTTGATCATTAAGGACTAGTAGAACTACAACAATAATAATAACATGATCATAAGCACGGGCGTAGACTACGCAAAGTCGATTAAAAATTGTCCTCTGTCCAATCAGCACCGCACAATGAGCAAATATATTAAGTTATAAGTCTAAGGACCGGTGGCACATATGAAAAGGTATGTATGTGTTTGTAATAGGAAATTTTAAAATCTATAATTTTGTCTTAAGTAATTTTTTGAAAAAGCTAGCCATTTTGCTGTTATTCCCGAAAAACTCATTTTTATGACCTCTAATCTTTAAAAACCTTAAAACTCGCACCAGTGGACGTCATGTGCATGTTTGCTACAAATTTTCAAATCCATCGGAGAAACATCGTCTATGAGGAAATAAGGGGCAATTATGCGAAAATTGAGTTATCGCCGATAGTCCCATACAAATTATCGAGGAAATATTTCTGACAGCGCCATAAGCGTCGATTAAATTTAACGTTATAATGCATGTTTACAAAGCACAGACAAGCAGAAAAAAATATACTCAAAAACATCAGACCAATATGTCCATGAAAGCCGAGAAATTGTCCACACAGCTCCGGTAACTTTGTACCAATAAAATTGGATACGCATCCTTCCTGTCTGTCTATAAAATCAATCGCTGTGGATGTACGCATAAAAATGTTTAGATAAAACATTCCACAAACAACGGTATTTGGACTTTTAAAATAAACTGCAGTTTACATGTCACTTTTCAGAAATATTCAAATCCATTTCTGTATATGAAAATTCATGGATTTCTAGATTAAAATCATTGTAAAACAAGAATATTTTTTCATTTCTGTTATCTCAGTTTGTTTCTTAGCGTCAACGATTTTTTTTTATTTGTAGCATTGGGATATTTTTTGTAATGACTTTACTTGAAGTTAATTGATGTTTAATGTTTCATTCGTTATATAATTTTAATGATTGTTTAATAAATATTAAACATTTACGTAGGATCTCTTTTATATTTTTTCTTTACTCACTGATGATTAAAATCACACGATAAAATATAACATTTTTAACAACTCTATATATTTATTCGCATGGACGTCCTACGTTGCGTCCAATCTTTCGTATGCATATGCATAAACATTTTGCATATTAAGCGAAACCTACTGGCAATGCCTCAGAACAATAAATAGTATACATGCCTCGAAATTGAGTTTTCTATTTACTTTTAAATATAGTGGTACAAGAATTCGTTAGCTTTCCATAGATATTTAGAATCTATTCTTATTATGCACCTGAACGACCAATCTTGGACCCAAGCACCCCTACCCATCCGTTATGGTGGTTTAGGGATTCGCAAAATTTCTAGTGTTGCTTTACCAGCCTTCCTACCTTCTGTCCATAGTTCAGCTAATCTCATAGGTAAAATTTTTAGGACATTCCATTCAAACTTTAAGATTGCTGGCTTGGAAGAGGCTAGAAATGCTTTTTTAATTGCATGCCAAGGCCAAAATTTTCCAGTTTCTCCAAATACACAGAGGAGCTGGGATGAAATAATTTGTAAATTAACCTACGTAGTTTTTTTGAGTTGTAGTACAGGTCTGGCGCGTGCTAGGCTTTTGGCCGCGGGTACGCATGAGGCTGGTTACTGGATTTACGCGTACCCTTCGCCAAATACAAGAAAATTTCTAGAACCTGACACGCTCCGAATCGCAACCTGTCTACGGCTTGGGGTTCCGGTCTGCGTTCCTCATAAATGTACCTTTGGCAGTGACGTCGACAAGTTAGGACATCACGGATTGTCCTGCCAAAAAAGTGCAGGCCGCTTCTCGAGACATGCCGGACTCAACGATATCATACGTCGATCTCTTGCCACCGTCAACGTTTCAAGTCTACTTGAGCCGACTGATATAGCAAGAGACAATGGCTAGGGACCGGACGGTATGAGTTTGATTCCATGGAAAATTGGTCAGGTGCTGGTATGGGATACAACCTGTTCAGACACGCTGGCCTCTTCCCATCTACATGGAACCAACAAGAGCGGGTGCCGCTTGTGAAGCGGCGGAAAATGCTAAAGCAAGCAAGTACAGAGGTCTAGGCTCGGAATATGATTTTGTCCCATTCAGCGTCGAGACCCTTGGTACGTGGGGTCCTAGCGCACTAAGGCTTTTTAAGGAAATATCAAAAAAGTTAACGGTAAACACACAAAACTGCGAGTAGAGAGAGTAAGAACCCTTTGGGGAATCTTAATTTACCCTCTGTACAATTACATCACGAGCTTATACAAATAGCCAATTTCCGACCTTTTAACCTCTGTGTTAATTTTCCTTATCACTGCGAGTTTAGAAATCGAAAGTTTAAAACATAATACTAATTTATGTTAGAGTTATGTTAGTATTATGTTTACATTAGGTTATACGAGTAATAAACACTCACGTAGAATAGGGTGCATTCTAATTTTCACAATGCTTGATAATACTGTAAACCATAATCAATTTACTTAAAAGTTGTCCTTTTTACCCTAAATCGACAAGAAAGAAATGCTTTAAATTATATGTAACAGGGTTTGCGAACTTTTTCCATCGCTTAAACCGCAATGTCGGAAACGTGGCTATTGGCAAAAAGTACGTAGTTTTAGGACGTAGGGTTCGTACCCCATTTAATGATCTAATAAGACTTCAGGTAAGATTTTTACACATTACACATAGGTAGGGTACATAGGTGTAATTGGAATCCGTAGATGCATTCCGTTTGTCTACGATACCGACGCATAGGCTGGCATGTGTTATGTAATTCAGCAGCGTTGGGGATTAACCTTGACCCGGTGAATGAGAATTTGGGATAAATGTTGCATATGCAGATTACCGCACGGTAGGATTTACTTGTGGTATTCCACCTCTGAAGCAGCATTTATATGAACGTGCGTCTTCAAGCAATACGTATATGTAATCGCTCTTGTTTCTTATTTGTAAGAAGGCGGAGTTATCGAGTCAACTTTTCTTCAGTGGAATAGTGTGAGCCTCTGCACGCATTAGATTTAGTGTTACAAAGAGATGTTAAAATATCGCTTCGACGCCTACATTTTAAACTGAATAAGGATAATAACATTCAATACTTTGCATAAAAATAAAATATACGCAAATAGCTAGGGAGCATCCAACTTCCTTCCTACACTCCGGGAACGAATATAAATCCGATTACCTCCCACACTTCAAAATTCGTAGAGCCGTTTAGGCGATAACACGTTGAGTTACTTTATTTTTTACTTAATTGCTTATTTGTGTTCAAGAATTATGCACTAAATATTAGTACTTGTATTTCAGATGCGGAAAGGAGATATCTTTTACGGATCGTATGACACAATTCTATGATTTTCCACTACAACTAGAAGATTTTCAGGTACTTTTCTTCTCGTTAATTTCTCTTTAAATTAATAATATTAGCATTTTAAATTTAACAAAGGAGATAACTATGAAATAATCCCCGGTAAAAACTTAATATAAATGTTCTCTCATGTAATAAAGGTAGAAAACCTTAGACAGGGGGGTGCTAGTGAGCTATCATAGTTTAGTTTGACACCGCGTCAAATACCTTTGTCAGTATATAATAATAAACTCAACTTGTGTTTATTGATTTACAGAAACAGGAGTTACACGGCTCGCAAGACCAAGTAGCAGTAGCAGGCAGCGAGATAAAACCATTTCTATCCCAGTATACATACTACAGATTGGTGATTTGGGTACATTCACTCGCCCTTTTTTACTAGACTTCAAAAAGAAGATTATTGTCAATTCGTCTGTATTTTTGTAGCATGTTTTACTGAATTACAAAAAAACAAGCTAATGTATATGTTAAAATTAATAAAAAAGCGGACCCATCGGCAAGTAAAACCTTTCGATCGAAAAAAAACGGTGTAACAGAGGCGGAGCTGTGCACACATAAAAATGCGGACAAATTGATAACCTCCTTCTCTTTGAAGTCAGCTAAAAGTCGAAGAAAAACATGATTTTAAACAAATATGCATTTTTTTAATTCTCTCTTCCATTTTACTTAGCGATTTATCTGTTACTTGTCCGATAGTATATTGTCATCCCACTCATTTTTCTAAAAAAGAAAAAATAGAAATAAGGAAATTTTCGGAAATCGTAATTCACGCTTTTTGGATATCGAATTACGTAACGGATTCAGTCGTAATTTGTACTTTTCGTATACTTCACATTTTAAAATGACTTTGTGTTAACATCATAAACATTAATGCTAGTTCTATTCGCATAAATCTAAATTTTCTTTGTGAAACAATCACGACTTAGGCTGAAATTTATAGCCAGTACTTAGACTTTGCTTAGACTTCTCAGAATCAAATTTATAGTAGTTATGGGTTAAGCATATGCTAAGCCAGAGCTAAGACAAATTTTGACAGTGTTTTTATTCGCATATATATTTTTGGTGATTCAAAAATAAATATTGATATTTACAAAATTTTACTTTTTGTAATACATGATTCCTATATAATTAAACTTAATTATTTTATCGAATAGTTGTTTATTTTGAATTTACTATCTATATTATGAGCAAAGCCACGAAATGGCGCTTGTATGGGTTGGTAATCGGTAGAACTGAACAAGATTATTTGACTTGACAATGTAGCTAGCGATTCTGACATACGACGCATTTCTCCTGGATTTTGGCTTAACTGCCTGAACATTTGAAGATTTTATCCTTTTACGTTGACCCTGGCACGATCTTAAGGACTCTCGATACTTTATCATACATTTGGTTTTGGCTTACGAACTAAAAAGGATTTTCCGATGGATAGATTGGATTTCGTCAACAACAAATAACAAATATTGCTTAGAACATCGGCTCGGTGGGTACATATGATAATCAAAGATATCAGACATTGTATACTGAAGAAGACACGTATGTGAATTATGTTTAACGCTCATCAACTCTGTACTAATTTTCTCTTTTCTAATATAGAATGTTTGTGGCGATTTATTGAGCTTAAACTATCTACAACGTGCATCATCATAAACAAAGTTTCAAGAGAATTGGCTCAACTTTAAGCGCAATTTATACGTTTTCCGTCACATCTACAGACTGTAATAAGCAAATTCGAAGAATTTGGTAGTACTACCAACAATACGGCCTGTAAAATATAATTCTTGTTAATACAAATATTTCTTCTTAAATATTCGAAATACGGTTTTTATTTTTTTCCTTTTATCGCTAAAATCCGTGTCCGTAAGCAAAATCGAAGTCCAAGGGAAGTACAAAGTCTTTGGAAACGGAGTGGTCATCAGATAGATCCAGAATATACACAAAAAGGTTCAAAGAACACACGTACTCCATACTAACCATAACAAGTAAACTCCTTCAAATCAAATCATCAAATTTTTCTGCTATATCAATTAATTTTACCATATCATAAAAAATAGTAGTCGAGAAACACGTAAGTTTTCGGCAAATCAACTATTTTGATGACTTAGCATTTGCCAAGCTCGTGCTTGACATTAATAGATATTAATAGACATATGCTTAGCAAATGCTTAGCATATGTCTACCAATGGCAAACTCGTAAGATAAGTCAAAGCAAAGTCTGAGTGACGTCTACAAATTTCAGCCTAAGACTAGCATAACAAAAGTAGTAAAACAACGTGGGAATGTAAGCAATGTTTTGTTGCATTACATGTTCCTGAGGGTTTTGAATAATATGAAGTAAACGACTATTAGTTCATTTTTTAATAATTTAATTTACATTTAATTTAATAATTTTATTTATCTTATTAAATGTTAAAATACTTTATTGTAATAAAATTTTCTTTTAAAATAACTTTCAAACAAATATTTTATTCAAATAGGTATTGATGTTACTTATAATTTATTTAAACAATTAAAACTACAAGGTGTTAAACCAGACCATGGTAATCTAATTAATGTGTTAAACTATGAAAATATGTAAAGAATATTCGCAATAAAAAATAACGCCATCTAGTTAAACGTTGAATTATTAACACTACGCAAACCTTTCTCAGCTTCGCCGCGTTTTTATATCTATGCTTTAAATAACTATCATCAATCTGACGTTGTCCAGTTAATTAAATAAAAAAGTTAATAAAGTCGGACTGGTAAACAGAAAAATATAAAAATAGGAAAGAATAAAAATGTGAATAACTTTTGTAAAATTTGTTTTACGAAACGAACCGTGAGTAAAAGTAGAAACACGGCACACGTACTTTGATAGTTTGTAGCACTCCTTGAAGTGAAGCTACAGACGTCGCTACGTCGATCTCCTACTGCTTGAAACTTTCGCCTTCCAAAAGTTTCAATTGGCAAACGAAAAAGTAGAGTTGGTAAATTTCAGAAGTACTATGTTTCAACTTCAATTAATTTTACAAATGTCAAAAAATAAAAAAAAATATTAAAATACCGCATAAATATAAAACAATATATACAATACTTTAATGTGTTTGTACACAAGTTAATATTTGCATTGTATTAATACTATTGTCATAATAAATATATAGAGCAAACTGCGAGTATGAATAGATGTTTGCAACAATGTTTGTTGAAAAATTAATTGCTGAATTCCAGTTCTTTTAATAGTTTGATGTTATAATCCTGTGGTACGCTCCGAAACTACGATTTGTGCTACGAAAAAATAAACGCATATGTTAAGTTTACTATAATTGTGGAAACATATGGTTAGCTGCGAGCTTCACAATCAGAATTCTTCATTTGCTAACGGTGTTTTAGTTTCTATAACTTATACATGTCTTATCTTTCTAACTCTTTAACTAATTCCTGTGGTAACTTTTAGATGAAATTGATAACGCCCTCGCTTCCGTGGCTGATGCATTATTCACGAACATCCAGTCTATCTAATCCGCCCTCGGATCTGCTAGAAAAATATTCGCAAGCGGTTTTTCAAACTTTTATATTTAATGTTAGATTAAGGTTTCATCATCAGCAGGTTTTCAGATAATTCAGAAATTTTGTTAGTATGTTATGCTAAATTTTTTGTATGTATATTCTAGACTCAAGTTATATAGTGAGATAAGTTTATATACGATACGCAACAATTAAATTAACACATTAGATTGTCTAAAGTTTGTAGTAAAACGTCAGAGAAATAGAAGAAAAAAATTAAATCAAAAATAAATTGTGGGGTGCTAATAAATAAGCTTAATAAATAGGTTATCTTTTATAACTTAACTCAAAAACAAACTACATTTAAATTATGTAATTTTATTTGAATCATCATATTTCTTTAATTTGACCATAAACAACGCCATGACAAAATACATACATGATAACATACATTTTATACAAACTTTTATAATTCATCCGATTTACATTAGCCCCCTCTACATCATAAATATGAAAAAATTACCATGTATACAACAACACATTCGGACGGAAAAATAGAAAATATTTACAGATGTATTACAATGAAAACAAGAATTCGATGAACTAATATTTACACCAGTAAAATAATTTCTCTTTTGTACAATATTATCATTAAATAAGAAATATCATACATCTTACTTAAGCAATTGTCGCATTTAAATGTTTTCCCACTAAATGACTACAAAACATTGTGCATCAAATAGCTAAATACAATTAAAAATAAATGAATTAAAAACTTTAATAAATTCCTATAATTTGTTATAAAACCTAAATTGTCTTGAGTGCTTCAAAACTAATTAAAAAAGCAGAATGGCTAAAGAACAAGTATCTTTGTTGTCGCTTCTAAAGTACCAATATATTAAAAAATAAGCATCCTTACTAAAACGATTACTATAAAAGTTTTATTTCCCAGCTTACTTATTAAATACCACATCAGTCTTAATAATTCACTTTTGTTACTACTTTTTAAATCACTTGAATTTATACTTACCATTATTCAACATCAACAATTTCATAAATATAAAACAACTGTTTCACTCCTTTGAAATAATGTGGAAATTAATTATAATTGTAGTATAGCTTAATTATTCATATTGATGGCTCATGAATCAGAATATTTGATACAGATATTTACTTAATAAATATTCATATTTTATTTTAAACCATAACTAGCATACCAAAAATTGTAAAGTCCATTAAATTATCCCATTGTCCATCATTAATTGAATTATCAAATAACATTGTTCTATGTACCTAAAATCAGTTTAAATGTTGTTAACAAAGTGAAACTTTATATTGTTTTGTTTATCAACTATATGATTTATTATTTACATACTCATTTGAATTTAGGTTTTATGTAAAGTAACGTATGATTATTACAGAGCTTGTAATTCTTAGTGTTAAAATGTTTTTTTAAAATCAAACTATTGAAAAGCGCGGCAAAAGTTTGGCAAAAGTTTGTAGGCATGCGCAGAACAGTTTGTATATAAACGTAACTAAGGTAAACTGTTGTTATGGAAGCTATCATTTTGCGCAGCTGCAACACGTGGTCCCCCCTTCCCTTGCCAATGCAAGTAGTGCTCTATGTATATGAATGCAGCGCGCAGAATCGGCAGTTGCATCGCTGCTCCCGAGGGGAGGGCGTCTACGACCATGCGCTGCACACGTGGTCAAAAGTTTTGACGGTAATAATCTTATTTTTAAGTGATTTTAAGTCAAATCTGCATCTAAGCTGCAGTCAATGCTGCTGCAACGTCTTTCTATAGTAAAATCGAGCAGGTAAGTGCTTATTTGTCAGGCCTTTAGGCAAAGTGAGACTACAAGCCGGCCGACTAACCTAACTTTGTTTGGAGTTTAATATTACAGTTGCGGGTGTATCAAAGTTGTTGGCGCGTTGTATGAAGGCTCGCGACCGCATGGGGCGCCGACTGAGCCCTCAGACGCCCTTTTTGAAACTGAATATCCTGTATTTTTACTACATATAGAAGAATGCTAGATGAGGCTTGTTGCACGGCGTGTGCGGTGCCGCACAGGCGTGCCGTTGTCGCTAACGATCGATCGGGCAACGACCTTACAATGCCAGTATACTCGCTTTGTCGACGCTATCCGCATGATCCTAGAGACGGTAAAATTTGGCATGCGGGCTAAGACAAATCCTGAAGGCGGACCGAATCTGGCTCTACAACGCGTCCTCCTCACCTCTAAGGACTACACATGACCGCGAGCTGCCGTCCCGGATGCCCGCTTCCTACTTTTAGCGCGCAATTTGAAAGTTTCAAACTCATAACTTTTTACGCAACTTTAAAAATATATTAAATTATTAATACATACTAATTATAATTATTATACACATAACATACATTAGTACCAAAGATTTTTGTTGTTTTAAACTATTTGTTAATAAAAATTAATTACATTTTTATTTCAACTTTGTACTTAATATATATTTCACGACTTTTAAAAATAAGTAGAATACAAAAAAATATATATAATAATAAAAAGAAAACTTACGCCGTTTTTTAACTTTGCATAAAATTTTTGCGCGCACACCGCGCTTTATATAATTTATACTCGGGTGTTAATTAAAATCTTTCAATTGACGTAATTGTAGTGTTCGTTACTCCGAATTTTTTAAGTTTTTTTCGGTAATCTTTTAAGTCAAATTAACTATCGACACTTAATTGGAAAATATTTTATAGAAGTAGTTAGTTTTTTTTTGTTATAAAATTACTACTTTCAAGTTAAGTTTGTTTATGTTGTCGGAACAAAGTTCAAGTTGTGAAAATATGGAGCGCGCATGCGACGCGCCGACATCTTGAATTTTTCATGGTCAATCGCTTCTACTCTAGTAAAACTTGTTTCGCAGTTACGAGCGCGGGAAAATTTAAACGTACACAAAGTTTTCTAAAAGTAATATAGATTTATTTGTGGAATATTACAATTTGGTGACGTTAGAATAGACATTTGTAAAAGTTAGTTAGATTTTTTTTTGTTAATAAAAAGTTTTCGAAAATTTTCATATCAACTTAGGTTTTTTAATTGAATCAATTTGATCTTTTAAAAAAAATCTTAACCTCAATATTTTATTTTATAGATTTTTTGTTAGAAATTTGACTACTGAGTTAATGTCATTCAAACGAGATGTTTCCACGGGGATCTAACAAGTTTAAAGGGATATCAAAACTTGTTGCATCTTCAATCAATTATTTTGCAACTAACGACCAGCGCTACCGTAGGAGGTTCGTTATTCCTTACTGGTCTGAATCTATATGATGCGCGATATTTTTGTAGTACTTAGAAATAATTAAAATGGCAAACCGTGCAGCTGCTTTTACTTCATTGATCAAAATATGACGCTTAGGATGACATTGTTTGTTTACTTATTTTCCGACTGCCACAGGATTCTTGTAGATTTATAACTTCGAAGTACAACAATTTGTGTGTTTTGTTTTAACAGGTTTAATAATAGAGGAAAGTGAGGAAATTCGGTACCAATTTGATTCAACACGAGTCAAGGGACTACAAATGCCTCATTTTGCTATTGGCTAACTTTGCGAGAAATATAGGCGTGTGCATAAAAGCTTGCACACAGCGGTCTTAGACCTTGAAAAAACGTACGATAGGGTTCCGAGAAGGGTTTTGTGGTGGCCTTTGAAAGTGAAAGGTGTGCCTGGGAAATACCTGCACCCTATTTGTGCTATGTATTGCCGAGCCAATAAACACATCAGGTACGGTGCTGGCGATAGCGACAGGTTCTGTGTCTCGGTGCTTGGTATGCTTTATGATGATGACATCTTGCTTGTCGAAGA